CAGCGGCGGGGCCGGTCCTTCCCCGCCCTCCCCCTTCGACCAAAGAAGAGGAGGAGGCGGCGGCGGCGGCGAGGCCGGTCCTTCCCCTCCCTGCCTGCCTCCCTGCCGCCGCCGCCACGCAAGCCCGGTAGGTCGCAGAGCGTCTCCTGCGCACGCGCAGGAGACGCTCTTGCACTTTCGGGGGGATTTAAACATCCCCCCGAAATTTTTTTTAACTTTTTTTATTTTTGTGCACATGTGGGCACTGCCCCACATGTGCACAAACCTCCCCCTGCCCCCCAAGTGCCCCCAAAGTGCAGATATAGCGATCCGCACGGAGGGGGCAACTTGGCTATTAGATATAGTGATAAGCAAAAACAGCTCCAGCAATTTGTTGTCCCTCAACAAAGAATATGAAAGTGCATAAAAGTGATTTCGGAAGCAAACCTAAACAGATCTATGCAGAAGTAAGTCCCATTTCATTCAGTTGGGCTTACTCCCAGGCAAGCATCTTTAGGATTACGACCTTAAAATAATAAACATCACCAACATCCAAGTGTTAAAGATTTCATGTTTAGTCTGACAACTATACACATTAATAACTAGGCTTTAAATGATAAAGTAACACATTTCCCATTTCTCCCCCCCCCCTTTTTCTTGTAGTAATGTATTCATAGGCATCTTCTGGTCATTATACCTGCAGCCAAACAGCTACATAACCAAATCAATGTGCTCAGTAAGGTTTTCAATTTTACCCTACCTCCCACCTCCATCCCAGCACATGAAAAGCCACATCTGAAACCTAGGGGAGCCTTGAACCTTCAAGAAAAATGTCAGATAGAGATATTTTAAATAAACGATACAGTAAATAAACATTCATAAGCAGGTTATGATGGGGGGACTTGTGTATGGGGGGGGGAACCCTTGAAGTCATACTGCGCAAAAGCAAGCCCCTGAGCATGCGTAAAGGAGCTTTACTGGCACTGTTTTGGATCCACCTGTTTTGATACTATTCATTATCTAGGGTTGCTTTACCTCATTCAAGTCTTACAATACTGATGCAACTCATGTGTGTACATAGCATTTGGCAAAGTGCTTCAAATATTCTTGTAAATGTTTTTCTGAAGAGAAACTGGAGTCCCATCAATCATTACTTCATAATGTTCATTATTGAGCTAGTCAGTGCATTTGCTACTTAGCCAGGATGATTCTCACTTGTAAATCACTGAAAAATAATCTCCAAGTCCAATTATGTCATTTTATCAGTTTAATTATTTTATGAAAAACCATGGAAAAACAATGTATGGAGTTGTCAAAGCCCAATACCAACCAAATGATAACTAGTTGCCACAGAACAATCTTTCGCTAAAATAGCTTAAGACCATAAGAGATGCCCTGTTAGATCAGACCAGTGGTCCCTCTAGTCCAGCATCCTGTTTGACAGAGTGGCCAACCAATTGCCTTAGAGGGTCAAAAAACAGGACAACCCAACTTACATCATGAGTTCTGCTGTCCAATCCTTGTCTTGGTCATCAGCATGATGCAGTGCAGACACAATTCGAGACAGGCCTGGAATCAGAAAATTCTGGAACCCGGGTTTTAAAAATGGCCTTATAATCCTCCAGTAAATAACTGAAGCATTATATATCAAAAAATAGTACCTGCAAAAAGAGTACACATTAAGATATTACCATCTTCTACAACAGAAATAGGAAGGGAATGGCCTCTGGACTTTAATATCTAGTCTCTCCCCCTGAACTACACAGCAGAGTCCTTCAACCTGATGCATGGGTACCACAAGTTGCACACGGAAGGTGTGTGACAGACTGCACTCTTAAAAGCTTAGATGTGCTGTACAAACAGCTGAAGGACTGTGAAGGGTTAATTCTTCACAGAGTCACACAGCCTTGAACAGGCTGCTCCAAGCAATCTGATTGGTTAGCATCAGCTGAACAGAGATAGACTTGAGAGCTGCATGCTGAGGAGAGATTCAGTCAGATTTCTGGCTTGACTGAGTTGAGTATTTATTTATTTATTTATTTTCATACTTATACCCCGCCCTCCCCAGTGGGCTCAGGGCGGTTCACAGAGGCAAGACAGTCTGATTTCAGCCTTAGCTGAGATCAGTTTAACGCAGACAGAAGAACTGGGAGAAAGTTGGCAAGAAAGGTTGGCAAGTAAACAAAGACTCCCATTCAGGCCAAAGAAAGGGGATAAATCTTCTAGTGAGAGAAGAAAATTCCCTACCCAGTCAAACAGGGAGTTAGCTCTGAAGAGTGCAAAGATCCCTAATCTGGTGTGGATAGAAACTGCCTGTAGAAATCTTAAGAGTAGGTTAAAAACTCAAGATGAGTACTGATGTTTCAGGAGAAGGGGTATGGGTACTGGAAAGAGTATACCAGCCTTCTGGAAACTAAACGAGTCAGTGAATACTCAAAGAAAGGGTACTGGAGTGTTTGGGAAACACTGGAGAAAAAGCCTCTCAACATGAAGATTTAAGTAAATGTGAATAGCTTAAGAAACTCTCATTAGCCTGAAACATTAGAACTAAAGTGTGTGCATGTACTTGTTTTACCTCAGAGTTATCTATATCATACTATGACAGGGTGGAACACACAGAGCTCTTCAGCAAAGAAGAAAACACATTACTAGGGCAGTTCAGTCAGTAAAGGGAAAGAAAAATGGAGGAAAAATCTCTGGGGGAGGGAAGTGGACAGGGCCATCAAACCTACCTAGAAAGGAAGAATTTGGCTATGGCAAAAGGTCAGGCCTGCTCTCCAGCCAGCACTTCCTACATTGCACCATTGCTTTCCCTCAACAGAAAAGAAGCAAAACCACGCCAAGGGACAGGACTGCATGTACATTAGAAAGGCATTCTCTCATACTCAGGACTCAACTTGCCAAAATGGCTGGCCATCAGTGGTCTACTAACAGTGCCATCCTAAGCAGAGTTTCAGCGTTCTAAGCCCAACTGAGGCTGCTGCCACACACGCTAAGTAATCCACTTTCAATCCACTTTCAGTGCACTTTCAAAGTGGAGTTTTACTGTGTGAACTGGCAAAATCCACTTTGAAAGTGCACTGAAAGTGGATTGAAAGTGGATTACTTAGCGTGTGTGGCAGCAGCCTGACATTAACAGAAAGGTGGAACTCTACTTAGGATCAATGTTCCCTCTAAGCTGTGGAGTCTTGTGAGCAAAAATTCTACTTTGTGAGCAACTGGCATTAAAGTTGTGAGTCAGCGATTTGGCTACTGCATAAATTAGTTTGCTCTGGAGCCATCCTTCCTGCGCTAAATCAAAAATTTGTGAGCTGGAGGCTAAAAAACTGAGCTAGCTCACACTAACTCAGCTTAGAGGGAACACTGCTTAGGATGGCACTGTTAGTTTCCCCATCTTGCAGAACTATACACAGCCTATCTTCAAACTTAAGAATGTGAAACATTTTCCCCCAATATTTTCACATTCCCCCATTCCAAACAAGGGAAACTACCATTTGCTGTTTGTTCGTATCCTTTAGACACGGGCAACTCTTCATAAATGAAAACACAAATATCCAAGTAGCACCTTAAAAACCAACAAATATATTGTAATTTGAATTTTGGAGGGTAGACCATACTTAGTCAAATAAGTACTTTTTGTTTGGCTGCAACAGAGTAACTCATCTGGTGGTGGTGAAAAGTACCATCAAATTGCAGCTGAGTCATGGAGAACCCAAGGCAAGAGGTAAACATTTCTCTGCATAGCATCCCTGGACTTCCTCACTGGTATCCCATCCAGGTAACTAGCCAGGGCCCATCCTGCTTAGCTTCAGAAATCAGGCTAGCCTGGGTCATCCAGGTCAGGGCATAACACATCTACTTAGTATAAAATAAAAAGTCATACTGACTTCAATTTTGGCTGCTTGCATGAAAATTCTGATAAAATAACCATGCATGTCCATAAGGTGATACATTTTTATTTGTCTAATCAAATCCAAGATAACCCCCCTCCCCGGAAACACTGTGGCATGGAGTCAGGCTGATGTTTTGTTCAAAAGAATGATCAAAATAGAAATCAGTTATCAAAGCCTCACCTTGAATCACCTAATGCAAAGTCTACTGCTTTCACCAGGCTCGTAACAAATTTTTCAAATTGTTCCTAAAACAGTATAAAAAACAATTCATCTGAGAGCAAGAAAAAGCTTTTATTACAACCACTCACCGGAGTCAATTAATTTATTACAAATGCTGGAGTTCCTACAAACTCATAGAGTAGCCTGCCATGAAAAGATTTACCATCCTTTTGAATGAAAGATGCAAATCTGTCTTCACAGGCTGTGGTCACACGCACTAAATAATCCACTTTCAATCTCTTTAAATGCACTTTCCAACTGGATTTTTACTGTGTGAACTGGCAAAATCCACTTTGAAAGTGCATTAAAAGTGGAATGAAGGTGGATTATGTAGTGTGTGTGACTGCAGCCACTGTCTTTTATGTGCACGAACTGTGGGTTTATAATGCATAGATCAATGTATGGATTGGATCACAAGTGTTTTACAGCTGAGAAGTTCCATCATTTAAACAAGAATTTCCCAAATTTGAAAAAAGACATCAAATGTTAACATTATTAAAATGGCCTAACTTTTTGGTGGAACTACTCAGTAAACATGTGCTTTCAAACATGAGCATACAAAGAAAAGTTATTGGGGTGGGGGCATGCTTTTGTAGAAGAAAATCATCTGACAAAAACTTATACTTTGCCCTGCATTCCCTTCACCTCTAGGTTCACCATTTTTTACTCAGCCAAGTTTTTTTTTCAGTCTCATAATACATCTGATGGGGGAGGGGACTCCAGGGAAGCAGTTGTTGAGGAGATTCACTAGGTACGAGGAAGGTTAAATAGCCCTCCTGCCAATTGCACTGCCCTAATATGCAAATTCCACTAGTAGAAAACACCATCAAAGATTGCCAAAACAATATATTAAACAATTATAAAGTTGGTGGTGTCACAACAACAACATTTATGCATACTGTAACTATAATAAGGCATAAGATACAATATTTTAAATAAGATACAATATATTAATTACAATATGTGCAGGAAATATTGTATCTTATGCCTTATAGTTACAGTATGCATAAATGTTGTTGTGACACTACCAACTTTATAATTGTTTAATATATTGTTTTGGCAATCTTTGATGGTGTTTTCTACTAGTGGAATTTGTATATTTGGGACTCCTGTGACACTAGTCTTTTCCCCTTGTTTGAATTAATTGCACTGCCGTGGCATTAGCACTTTGTAACAAACAAAGGTTTAGGAACCCTATGTTTACCATGTAACATATAGCGTCGCCTTTAAATGTATAGTTTATTCACAACTATTAAAAGAAACAATTGAAGTTAAAAATATCAAAACTTGCAGCATGTGCTCACCAAGTTATCAGTAGACACGGGAGTATATAATTGGCTCTGACACAAGTATGCTCTACCCAAAAACTGGTTATCTGGAGGTCTTCCTTTAAAATACATTTGTAGACAATCACTGCTCATTTCCAGAAACCCCATCTAGATTTAAACATATTTCATTGTTTAATTCGGATGAACAAGAATCCAACAAGGAAAATGTTATTCACCAACCTAAGGAGCACACTGTTACCTGAAGTGCTTGTTCTGCACACAAAACATACAAGTCAGAGCAGAAACTTTCTGAGGAATCAAGGGCTGATTTTCCTTCACTAGCAGATTTTATCAGCTCATAAGTGCCTTGTAAAGCTTCTGTGTCTTAAAAAGAAGAACATTTAAATTAGGTGAAATAATATTTGGCTTCAGTCCATATGAGAACAGATTCATTTTGACTAATGACTATAATGTAAACAGAACAAAGTTTGAGTCCAGTGGTGCCTTTAAAAACAACAACATTTTATTCAAGGTATACGCTTTCGTGTGCATGCACACTTCTTCAGATATGGTGAATGTCATCGTGCAGCAAGAGAGATCACCCCTCCCATTTTGCTGACCTGCTTCCCCCCCCCAACCAGATGAGGGTTGGCAGGCATTAGCAACAGCTACCAGGAGTTTGCCCACCATTAGCAAGTACCTGGTAAGCCTAAAACTAGATGACTTACTACAAGGCATGTTGAAAAGGCAAGACTGATTAGGTGTGACTTTATGTATGGTATTTATTATTTTCTTGCCAGCAGTCTGCTTATTATTAAACTCCATACCAATCCATAACACTTGGTCCCACTAAAAAATAAGTGCAATTTTGGGTCCTCAGTGCCTCCTGAAGAACAGTCAGCACATTGTTATTTAGAAACCATTCTATGGAGTCAAAACTTGTCCACTGACCTTCACAAAAATATGTGAGATTTCCTGACCCAGTGTCAGCTGGTTCAGTATACTTAAAACCAGCTTCTTCAAGCATTTGGATACCCTGAAGAAATATGTGCCCTATTCAGAACAAAGCTATAGGGCTAAACAGTGAATCTAAAGTGAGTAGTGAGTCTAAAAAAGTAGCAGTGCCATCCAAAATGGACTTTTGTCCTTCTATGCATCTATGCATTGACTTCAGTGGACTCAGATGGGAGCACTCTGCTTAGAATGGCACTGTAAGACCTTTTGCTATGTGTGGGTATGTGTGTTTCTTATTTAAGCAGAAAGAATCCTAAAACACGATATTTTCTTTCACATGTAAGTTGTTATGGAAAAGTATCTAACCCATTTGAATTTACAGAGTAAATATATCAGCTAGCATTATACATACAAACCAATAAATACCTAATAATAATTTGTAATTATCTACCTTGGTAATTCTCAGCATCAGACAGCTTCTGCCTAATCAGCAGCTCCATGTCTTCTTTGCTGAATAATTTTTGCTGAAATCTATTGACAAGGTTATCAATGCAATTCTCCTAAACAAAACTTTAAAAACAAAACAAAACCGAAACTGATTAAGAAACACTGGGCAAAACTTTGTTTTTTGGTTCCCTGTTTCACAATACTGTGGCATTCAGTCACAACTAGTTAAAACCTCTCCCCCCCATTTTTTAAAAATAATGGAATAGGAAAATACAATACAGGTTACGATCTTGATGCATTTTATTTGAGAACACAGCCTACTGAATTCATAGCACCTGCTTCTGAGTAAATGGAACACTATAAACAGGGAACAGATCCATAGATCATATGAGTGTAATCAGAACAATTAACAAAACAGTGATGCTTTTGTCTGAGCAATGCTGCAGAAATCTCAGGCCAACCCTCTAACGACTTACACTATGCTTTGTTTCTTTTTAAAACAACAAAAATAAATGTGATTAGTACAGGGGAAGATGACGCACAAGGCTCCCAACACAAGGCTCAAACATGTATAGCAGTTGTCCTCAACATAGTGCCTATGTGTGACATGGCACCCACCAACATCTTTCCTGGCCCCACCAAGTGGTTTTAGAAAGTAGGCAGGGCCACATGAGGCTTTAGCTCAATAAGGCTTCTGATTGGCCACTGAAGAATTGATTGGCTGTTCTGATTTTTTTTAAAAAAAGTTGCTTTGGTAGCAGCTGTTATCTCTGCACAAGGATTTTCATTGTGTGACTGAAGGTAAACTGCAGCAGCCATTTTATGGCTGGCTCCACCTCCAGCAGCCATTTGTCACTGTGCCCACCATGCTGTGTCAGAATTCCAAAAATGCCTGCAGGCTCAAAAAGTTTGGGGACCCTGATGTATGCTACTTCTAGAAGAATTGAAATGAACAAACCTATCTATTTTCCCTTGATGAAAATATGACTGAATTATACCCTGGCAAATCAATCTCCCTGAACTTGTATTTATAGGAAAAGTCCCTTTAACTTTTGTACTAAATGCTCAACTGACTACAAACCCCACCCTTAGAAATGGTAAGTTCGTCCAACACCCCTCCAAAAAAAAAACCCACCCCAAATTCAACTTGGCCACATCATTTATTTTATACATTTTATACTCCCCCCTGAAACGTTCCCATAAAAATATTTTAAATCACTTACTATATATACTATATATACACCTTGATTATTAAAAAATCCACAGATTACACTACCCAACCCCCAAACCCCACTCTATACAAAGTAATTCATAGTCTATCCATAAAAGCCACATTATGACCAAACCCCATTCTTCTTGGCTGCCAAAGACCATGCAAAAATACATGAGTCTGATCAAAGACCCACAGATTCTTTTCTGAATGGTCATACAGGTAACAATAATTGCACACACTGTGTGGTTCCTATCTGCTCCACGCCTTTTTAGCAACAGGTCTGAAAACCGAGCAAAGGATGACTTGAAGCAGAAAAACCAGGCACACTCGACGTTTGTTCCACTCCATGTAACAGTTTTAACATCTCACTCCTATTTACTCCTGCCCTACGTCTCCCGCTGTACTTGGCAGCCTTTCCCGCCCCATTGATTGCCTAGGTTGATCTCGGTGCCAAAGGCAAGCGGCGCCCCTTCTCACCCCATTCCAGTATCCCCGAAACATCTACCGCGCTTCCGCGTCTCTCGGTCTCCTAGCAACGAAGCATCAGCAGTGCACCTACAGGCGTTGCTCTCTCCGCCCCCCTATAGTATGGGGCCCCGCTCAGGACACAATTCCTAAGTAAAGGCTTTCTCTCCACTGGCTGTAGTGTTGGCGGCTGCAGGGATCAGTACGTGTTCCGCTTCAAGCTTCTCATGCAAATCATACAGCTTGTCGCCTTCCGTCCTCCTCTTCATGCTTCACTAAAGAATCATTTATTTAGAAATCACACATGGGAAAGTTGCTATTCATTGCCTAATTTGCCCGCTTATGATTAATGTGCATGTTCTGCTGCTGCCCAGATGGATGATGGCATTAAAATACTGGGACGTTTACTAAATAAAGACAGCTCCCAAACATCTATGCCCTAGCCCATGTTTACCCTTTCAAATCATAATGAGGCAAATGTGGGATCTGCTGTCACCCGTGTTACCTTAAGAGTCTTCTGCTCCATATGCTAGCAAAATTCTGCACTGCGGGAAGGAGTCAGTGTTTTTAGGAATGACAAAACTAAGGTTGCCAAACCGCATGTTTTACCAATCTGTGCAGTAGTTTTGCCTCAGGTTTTGTATGTGGTATTTTGTTGACTAAATAATCTGTGCCAGAAAGTTTTAAATGTCTGTTTCATTCAGTGTTCTGACTATTATCTCCTGGTAGGCTTCATTCACTCACCCCCTAGCCAGTGTTCCCTCTAAGCTGAGTTAGTGTGAGCTAGCTCACAGTTGTTTAGCCTCCGCCTCACACATTTTTGCCTTCGCTCAGGAAGGAGGGCTCCAGAGCAAACTAATTGATGCAGTAGCCAAATTGTTTGCGCACAACTTTAATGCCGGTAGCTCACAAAGTAGAATTTTTTGCTCACAAGACTCCACAGCTTAGAGGGAACATTGCCCCTAGCCCATCTAAACCTGTCAGACTGCATCCCAAACTTCCTGAAAACTGCCATACTCTCTCTCTCCCCCCCCCCCCCCCCCCGTGATCAAAACCGGGCTCTGTTAGTGTGCACACTACATGAGGACAAGGCATTTTCATGTCAGTTACTACAACATCCAAATCAGACACAAATAATATCAATTAGGCTTACTTTCAACTCTGTGTAGAATCTCAGCCGCAGGCTGTTAGTAGTATTATATGTGCTGTTAAAGACAAATGTCTAGCCATGGAGTTGCTTGCTACTAGATAATCAGACTTTCTGACATCCAAATGGAATGATCAACAGATAATGGTTGTCAACTCTGGGTTGGGAAATTCCTGGAGATTTGGAGGAGTGGATCCTGGGGAGTGACCTCAGTGGGATAGAATGCCATGGAGAGCCAGTTTGGTGTAGTGGTTAAGTGTGCGGACTCTAATCTGGGAGAACCGGGTTTGATTCCCCACTCCTCCACTTGCCCCTGCTGATGTGACCTTGGGTCAGTCACAAGCTCTGGCACAGCTGTCCTTGAAAAAGAGCAGTTTGTGTCAGAGTTCTCTCAGCCCCACCCACCTCCCAGGGTGTCTGTTGTGGGGAGGGGAAGGGAAAGGAGTTTGTAAGCCGCTCTGAGACTCCAAGTGAAGGGCGGGGTATAAATCCAATCTCTTCTCTTCTCCAAAGCAAAATGTAATTGCTCATCTGGAGAACCTGACACCTTAGATCACATCTTATTACACTGTCCCCCTCCACTCACATCTTTGATTACTTTGGATTAAGCCCATACTGTCTAGGATTAACTCTGAAAACGTAATTAGGTACCTTTTAGCAGATAAGTCACCTGAAGTTACTGCACAGATTGCTGAATTCTTAGCTAAGATCTTGGCAGTAAGGAGTTTTGTTTTTTTTTTAAATATTGATGTGTTTTAAGAAGACAGGTGTAATACTACCTGATGAAGTAACTTATTTATTGTTTTATATGCCAATAAAGGTGTTGTATTGTTTGTACCTTTTCTCCAGGGGAACAGATCCCTGCAGTCTAGAGATCCATTATAATTCCAGGAGACCTCCAGGCCCCACATAGAGGTTGGCAAACCTAAATTTCAAGTTCCTTCTCATCAGAAAAAGAGAGTGTCCTTTGGAATGTTCAAAACCCAACATATTTCAGGATTATATCTCCAACAGTTTGGTGGCTAGATCAAATGTTGTCAAAATGGAGACATCTTTTTTTTTGCAGAAGAAAGGAATATGTATGAGTTGGGAAGGGAGTAGGGCTGCCAAATTCCTGGAGATTGGGGGGTAGAGCCTGGGAGGGCGGGGTTTGGGGAGGGGAGGGACCTCAGCAGGGTCCAGTGCCATAGAGTCCACCCTCCAGAGCAGCCGTTTTCTCCAGGGGAATCGATCTCTGTTGTGTGGAGATCAGCTGTAATTCTAGGAGATCTCCAGGCCCCACCTGGAGGCTGGCAAGCCTAGTAGGGAGCCTGTTTTTAAGAATGCTGCTCTATGTGAATACCTCCATGGTTGTAGCCTTTTTTTTGTAAAAAAAAAAAATTGCATTATTCTTTGCAATGTAATGTGTAATGCCTAAAAAATAAAAGATAAGTGTGATGGAAGCAGATCCTCTTTTAACATGAGCTAACAACGTAAGAATTACTCCCCTTCTTAAAGAGAAGAATAGTGACAACTGATGGGAACCTTGAGCTATTAACTCATTATAACAGCTGAGTTCCAGACTGCAGATAATCCCCTTGGAGAAACCTTCTTGGTAGTGATAGATTCTGTTCTTTAAAATTCCCTGTTTAATCCAAGTAATTCAACCACTGCCCAAAGCAGTACAGTGTTGTGCTGTAGTGTGCAACCTTCTTAACTTCCATAAAATAGGTCTCAGTGAAACATATTCCACAAATAATGACATGTTACATACACAATCATCACTTTCAATAAGCAATTTATTAACAAAAGCAGGGATCAATAGTTTATATAAATAAAAGAGCACCAGCAGGTATTATTTGGCCCTTTTATGAAGAAAAAAAAGATTTGACATGAAAGCAACACCACCAGTAACTATCACTTTGGGCTGAGATCATTTACAATCACAAAGGGCATCTGGATCATATTTACCAACAGCCACTGGGCCTGAATGATCATCTTTTGAAACATAAAGCTTTGTTGTACCTCGACTCTTTTCACAGTACATCAACCAAGCATGTTTCAGAGGCACAGAATATTTCACGGAAGCCTGGTACTGAACAAAAGTACCATTAGAGATGGATCGGATAATGTAGAATTCCTCTGATCCTAATAACATCCATTCAGAAGGAAATTTGGGCCCTACTAAAACCATAGCTTCTTGGAGTATATAGTGATTAGCCATGCAAACAAGCACAAGCATAAATATC